TTATCTGCTGAAAAGAAAGTTTTGTATTAATATGTTTCTTTTTTCTAAGAATCTTTTTGGTTTATGTTTTGTACTCTAACTACAATACTCTAACAATGTATTAACTGTTATTTTATTATGAACTTTTTTTTTTAATAAAATAAAAAAATACTAAAAAATGATAAAAATAACAAAATGCTAAAAAGGAATGAATCTGGATAAAAGATACAGGAGTTTTGAGTGGTATTCTTATAGTTCTCAAAGTACATATGAAATTATCTGGAATAAGAAGGTATTAAAATATACATCAAAATGGAATGCTGGGTCATAGGCTTGATTTTGGGATCAAACTCCGGTCCTTGTGCTTGCAAGGCAGGTGGCGGAACCACTGAGCTAAATCCCCAGCCCGATAGGCTTGATTTTATAGGGTAAAAGGTGAATTTCCCCCTTGAAAATGACAGCACTCAGTTAATCACAATTGTGTTTATGCCAAACAATTTGGAAAGAGCATTGTTTTTACACCAATTATTCTATTTATACAACAAAAATGTGCAGTCTATTCCCCGCCCCCACCCGTTAGCAGGGATCGAACTCAGGACCTTGTGCTTGTAAGGCTGGCACATTTCCACTGAGCTAAATTCCCGAACCTATTTTAGTCTATTTTTGTTCAAGGATGTTCTGTATCACAGAATTTGAAGTTAACAACACATCCATGCTAATTCTCCTGTTAAAGAGTAAATATTTTCAGGCACAGATCTCCCAAGGAAAAAGATTAGCCAGGTGTGGTAGCACACACCTATAATCCCAGTAGTCAGGAGGCTGAGGCAGGAGGATCACAGTGAGTTTGAGGCCAGGCTGGACTGTGTAGTGACTTCAAGGCCATCACTCTAAAGTAAAAGTGTCTCAACCACCCATCTGAAAAGGATTAACAGAAAATAATTTCAAACTGTTCTATCTGTGTATTTTAACTTGTTGTACAAAAATATTCATGATATGACCTGAGGTGGGGGAAAGGAAGTATGTCACTTTACTACTACTAATGCTTATACAGAGTTACATATAATAAATTACTCATACATGGTTAAAGGTTGCCTGAGCCACTGTTTCTGGGCAGACAAGGGCTTTAGATTAGAGCACCACTTAATAAAGAAAAAGGAAGAGAGATGATAGGTAGCATAAAGATAAAACCCATACACTGTGATCCAGGTAAGGGAGTTTCTTATCAGTTTCTTCTAGAACTTTACGTTCAGACTGAAAAGAAGCAAGATATTTTTCATCTGGGCACTGTATTTCCTAATGCTGTCATGTGCACTATATTACCACAGATTCTTAGGTCTCTACTGGGAAAGAAATCAAGTCACGGTGGCAACTTAGGAAGTAATGGACTCAGCCAGACATAGAATGAGTATACATCAAATACAACAACAGTTAAGACCAAGAGACTTTCAGAACACCATGGGGCTTGACCATCTCAATACAGACAAAATCAAACTTCAGAGGGATACAAAGAAATGAGAAAAATCAAATGATAAAGGTAAATCTTGTGAATTCTGAGAAAATCCTGAGAGTAACCTACTATTTTATAAAATAACAAAAAACTCAGATACAAAAAAATTTTCCTTTAAGAAGTATAAATGTATATTCTACCTTTCATAAAGAAAGACAAAAAAGTGAAAGTACAGGATTGAGAATTAGAAATTTCTGCATTCAAAATAAAACATTATATGAATTATTCTGTATAACATGAAGACTAGGAATAATATGAAGAAAATTAGAGCATTTTTATTACGTAAAACATTTGGATATTATAGCTTCAACTTCAAATCTCAGTATTCTTCATTCCACAAATTTATCTTGTAAAGCATACATTTCTTTGCTGCTGAAAAAGGCAGCAGCAGATTAAAATACATAAAAAGGCAGAATAGAAGCACATTGAATAGAAGCACATCTCCTCTTGAAGAGATAGTAAAAATGAAAATTTAGACCAGCTGTTTTTTATACCAACTACTAAACTAACTTAGTGTGACATGAAAATCACTCTACTCATCTAGTGTCCTGTGCTCTTACTTCTGTTTTCTGCTAGCAAAAGATGAAGGCAAAAATCCTATCATTAGCAAACAAGTTGTGGGGAATGAAAACATAATTTCAAGATGTATTCATTGAAAACACTATATCTGAAAATTATTTCAAAATATATGCCAAAACACAGAATAAATATTTAAAAAAAAGCAAGCTAAAGTGAAAAAATACAATTAAAATTAATTCTGAAAGCTGAGTATGGCGAAGCATGCCTACAATCACAGCTACTTGAGACTGAAGCAGGAGGTTTGCAAGTTCAAAGCCAGCCTGGGCAACTTAGTGAGACCTTGTCTCAAAATAAAATCTTAAAACGGGAGGGGGCATAGTTCAGTGCTTGTGTTCTCAATTGCCAGTATTGTAAAAAAAAAAAAAAAAAAAAAAAATTGCAAGCTTATGTTGCAGGATCCCATAAATATAACAGTATATTCAACTTATTCTACTACTTATACTGGTTGAGTTTTAAAATTTCTTCCCTAGGGCAGAAAGAATCCTCAATGTGTATATAGGGATTCAAAGCAGCAGAATGTGAGATAATGTTATGTCCATGTTGATGAAAGCTGGGTATCTGTTACTTATTATTAGAGAAATTGCTGAGCTAGGTATTGGACATACATATATAGGTCCTTTATTCCTAGGAAGCCCTATCCTTTGTAGAAAACTGAATAGGCAGGTCACAGGCTTTATTTAAATGTAATTCATGCAAATCACATTCCATGTAAAGATTAAAATGCATTTGTCTATTCTAATTTTGATACAAAGGAAGCCAGAATTACATATTTGAATATTAAGAACTCAACCTCTGAACCCAAAGATATTTTTCCTTGGGTTTTTGCTATATGCAAAAAAATATATTGATGATATTCTAAAAATATGAGTTCAAGCATACAGGAAATATACACTCAAAAAAATTTCAATGAGTTCATATTTGACTGATTGCATTGCAGGTACTTGAACTCAGAGCCTTACACATGCCAAGGATGCATTCTCCCAGTGATCTATAGTATATATAGCCCATATATACTTTTATACAGACTACTTTTCAAATAGTAGTAACCCTTTCCTAGGATTTTGTTTGGAAAAAACAGGGAAAGGAATGAAGAGAGCTTTTAAATGAACACTCAGCATTAGCCAGTGTTCACCATTCTTTTTTTCATGAAACTTGACCAATATATCAACTCTTCTAAATTTTTGTGTCACCAATAATGTTAGGATCAAAAGAACATCAAGCTGGGCACGGTAGTGCAATCCTGCAATTCCAGCATTCAGGAGGCTAAGGAAGCAGAATCCCTGTAGGACAGAGAGGCTACTCTTGAGGCCAAAAGGCCCTCTGAGTTAGGTTACCCTGGGGCTCAGAGGAACCAAATGGAGTCAGTGTGTCTGCCGAACAAAAAAAAGGACTTTAAACTCATTAAGCTACACATTTCACGCTTCAGTTCATACACGCACATCCCGAACACCTGTACTGACAGAGAATATATTAGATGCTAAGGCATTTTGAAAAGCTCTGTTGAAAAGTTTTTCCTTATTTCTTGTAAGCTTTACCAGGTGGTCCCAATTCTACTATTTTAGGTGTTACCAAGCCAGAAAACCAGCTCTTTCATTTGTGAACCCTCCAAGTATTTGTGGGGAGTTACAGTCTAGCACAACAGAATGAATCTTTCCATAGATTAGATCATTTTCCCCTGAAGGTTTTCTAGTTTCACGCTTGGGTTCCAGGATTTCAGCACTATGCTAACAGGTAAGATAATCACTAACCGCATTCTAATTTCTATTACTGTAGGATAAGATCTCCATATTGAAACCTTCCAAGTCATTTTCACAGCTCACTTCTAACCCTATCATGCCACTGTAAGTTTTCTGAATCCAAGTGCATGTTCTTAACATTTATTCCATAAAATTCATCCAGCTGATTATGTCTGAAAAGATTTATTAGATCTTCAATCTGCCATTCAATTTATTTGTTATTTATCTGTTTTATATCAAATTAGTTCAATATGTAGGTTTGTGTTTTGGGGGGAGCAGGGTGAGGATTAAACTCAGGGTCTCACACATGCTAGGCTAGTCCTCTATTGAGCTATACCCAGAGCCCAAAATTTAGATGTTCATATTGCTTATATCACAAATGAGAAGCTAAGCATAGTGGCGCATGCCTACCAGCCACTTGGGAGGCGGAGGCTGAGGGATCACTTGAGCCCAAGAGTTTAAGGCCAGCCTGGGCAAATAAGAAAACACCATTGCAAATCACAAATTAATCCTCAGATCTTTATTTATCAGTTAAATGAACTATTGTCATTCATGGGTAGTCTATAATTTCAGCAGCTGGGAGGCAGAAGCAGGAAGAGAAACAAAATTAGCTCACAAAAGTCTGTGTACAAATATACACAGCAGCTTTATTTATAGTAGCTACAAACAGGGAAACAACTGCAGTGTCCATCAACAAGTGAATATAATAAACTGGAGCATAATAAGGAATGAATTATGATGTAGTAACTAAATGAATGGAAACAACATTGACTCAAACACGCTAGACACAAGAGTACATACTGTACAGTTCAATTCACTTTAAGTGTAAGGAGAACAAAGCCAAATTATGGTGACAGAAATCAAAAAGTGTTTGCCTCTTGGAGTTAGTAGATAGGACAGGCTGAAGTAGGTATAAGGGAATTCTCTGGAGTGAAACTGTTCAGTATCATGTTCACTTTCTTTTGGGGGGTACTGAGGATTGAACTCGGGACCTTGTGCTTGTGAGGCAGGTGGCAGAATCACTGAGCGAAATCCTCAGGCCCCAGTATCACGTTTTCAAAATGTAATAATTATGTATTGCAAAAATAATGCATGTCGCACTTCAATTCAAATTATATTCCTATTGAAGTACTTTTTCTAAAAGGAAAAATAACAGGAACAGAAAAACATTTTAACATTTCCATTTGCAGGATGCTTACCTGTCTAAGAGCTGATCATGTTTTTCTAAAGCATCCTTTTCTGCCATCACTGCTCGGTCCTTTTCAGCCAAAGCATTATCTCTTGCTTCTCGAAGATTTCTGAAATTTAAACATATTTCATTTATTACAAATGCATAAGTATGTCTCTTCAAAGATTCACAAATCTGCAAGTTCAGAGTTGGACTAGGTGACAGTTTTAAGAAGTTGGTGACCTGATATGTGTGTGTGTGTGTGTCCCTCCCCACTACTGGTAATGGGGATTGAACTCAGGACTTTGTGCTTGTGAGGCAGGCAGAGCACCACTAAGCTAAATCCCAGCCCCTGAAGTATATTTTTCTTACATGAATCTGCCTAGTGTTGGTGAGGCTCTTTAGCAGTATCCAACTAGCAATATAGGCGCAAGCATGGTCTATCTCGAAATGTCAGAAGTGGACTAGATATTAAAATTTTATTTTTAAATTTTTCATAGACCATGTCAGTCATGAAAGCACACAAGTTAAAATATTTCTCCACAACTTTTTCCCACATGGGTCATTTTTTTCCCCACATGGGTCACATTTTAGCTCATATATTTATTTATTTTTGTTTTTGTTTTTCTGAGACAGGGTCTCACTATGTAGTTGAGACTGACCTGGTATTCACTATGTAGCCCAGACTGGTCTCTAACTCACAGCGCTCCTCCTGCCTCACGCTCCCCAATTGTGGTGGAGATTACAGGCATGCGCCAACACGCCTGGCACATTTTAGCTCATTTAATCTTTATCATAATTCATTGAGGTAGGTATAATTACTCACATCCACACAAAAAAACCAAGGCGTTGGGACGTTAATAAATGTTCTATAAAGTATTTTAAGTGAATGCTGTATTAATGGAGATCCAAGAATTAAAAAGGGGATGAAGTTTGGGATGGGGCAAGAGAGCAGCTGAAATAATATAATAGACCTTGGGATCTAAATTGTAGTGAGAGGGAAGAGAAGGAAGAATGGCTCATAGACTAAGAGAAAGGATAAAGGACACAGACTAGAGGTCCTGATGAGATGACAAACAAATTAAGTGCTGGTAGTTGTTCGTGTAAGATGGAAAATTAGTGCTGCTGGAGAATGGAGATTTGGAGACAGAATAATACTCTGTGGCAGAATTTTAGTTGATGACAAGACTGGGTAGGTCCATTAATGTGGTTAAATGAAGCAGAGCTGAGATGAAATCAATATTCATATAGGGATTAAGGAATATAAGGTCAGGGTATTTGATTAAGTCAGCCACTTACAGTGGTAATGACAGTAGAAACTGAAACTGACCCTGAAAAAATGCATTCAGTGACAGTTAAAGAGAATGTCCAAAACATGGAAAGTAACAATCATAATTAGGAGATTATTCAGCCATATACAAACCTTCAAAGATCAAATTTTATTTGTTTTAATAAAGATGAAACTGAATTTAAAAAATACCAACAGTAAGCTTCTTTCAGTTAAAAAAAACTCCTTTCCTAACAGAGTTCTAATGTAAATAAATATAAAATGTAGCAATTTTGTTCATTTAATCACTACAAATCCTCTTTGTTATATTTTCTAATTCAGTAAACCAAGGTTTAGCCTCAAGCCACACAGCTTAAAAGTTAAAGGGACCTACTTTGAATCCAGCTGACTAACTCTAAACACAAGCTGTTTATATCACACCACCCTGTCTCCAAAAGAACTCAACTAAGAAAATATGGTTTTTTATTATTCAGAGAGAATGTTAATAAAGAGTCATGAAAGCTCACATGATTTGTATAAATCTATCTGATAAATACTGGATTGAACTGCTTAATGGTCATACTCTGCTTTGCCAATATCCAAAGTACATGGATAATGTACATGCCAATTTTTTTTTTTTTTTTTTTTGGTACAGGGTATTGAACTCAGGTCCTTACACTTGCAAGGCAGGCCACCGAACCACTGAGCTAAATCCCTGGCCCTATATGCCAATATTAACAAATTTAAAATTTAAAACATATGAATCATGAGAGATTCATAAATAAAAGTTTGTGTTTCAGAGATAAACCAAAAAACTGAAGCACGGTAACTTATTAATAAGAAAATAAACTACTTTTGTAGTTTTGTATCTATTTTGTAGAAATGTAAAGTAGCTATTAAAAATGGCAATTTGCTATTTTCTGAAGTCATCTTGATTGCAATAAGCTTCAGAAATACTCTATTATCAAAACAAATAAAACAAGTAAAATTAATTTTGGAGAGAATAAAATTTTCAAAATACATAAAAATTCATATATCTTTAATTCCTAGATGACCTAAATATTCTAAACAGTAAATCACTATAAAGTGGTTTCAATTTGTTTCTCAAACATAGCCACATTATTTTATATGCTATATTTCTAAGTAGATCACATTTGCAGCACTAATTAAACATGAATGCTTAGTTGGTAGATGGAGAAACTTCAGTCCCTAACTCTATTTCCTTATATCTGGCATTGGGTAAGCCACAGGGAATGATGAAATAAAACCCAGAACAAGCCAACATTAGGGCTTGTAAGAAGATGTACGATTAGAGGGAACTAATACACACACCGTGTCACACTCTATTTATCCGGCTAACTATAAGTGCTATGTTAAAGTTACAAAGAGAAGCTGATTATTTTTAAGTGGAGTAAGACAGATAAGGGAATAAGGGGAAATACTTTAAAAAGTGACATATAAATTAAACCTTGAATCAGTAAGCCAAGTCAGAAGGAGAAAACCAAAATTAACAGGGGAAAATTCCAGAAGCTAAGGCTTCTTTCTATTAGGTCCTCTAATAGATGCTTGTGGCTAAGATTTCTGTAGAAAGCTGTTCTCTTCATCAGGTAGCACACCTTCCATAAGCTACTTCACAACCTGTCTATTTTGTAGTTCCTTTAATATCAACTGACATGATTCAAATTAGTCTCAGAGGATTAAACTATGTATTTCTCCACTGACAATATTAGTAATAGCAAACATATAGTGTTTATCATACGTCAGAAGCTGTTCTAGGCACTTCACATGTAGTAACTTGTTTAACTGCTACAACCATCACATAAGCTGTAGTTGTACCATGACCTTCATTTTACAAGAGGAAGACTGGAACATCAAGAGGTTAAACATCGGCCTAACGTCTAAGTTTAAACGTGGACCCTAGCATTCTGGCTCCAGAACCTGTGTCTCGAGTCACACTACGCCATCACGCCACTTCCCGATTTTTTTGATAGGGTGTGACCGTTAATACTGAGATATCAACTTCACAGGATTAATAAATGACTAACAGATTAGTAAGGCTCACTCCTGGGCGTGTCTAGGTAACAGCCCCTGATCTGTTAGGAACCAAGTGACACGCAGTGGGGGAAGGCAGACAAGCAGGCAAAACTTTGTCTGTATTTGTACACATTCCCCATCATTCACAACATTAGATTCTCATAGGAGTGCGAACTCTTCTTTGCTTCACACACAATTTCATCTTGGGATATTTGGACATAATGAGATTTATGCTATGTGCCAAATGTAGATGGCACAAATAGATGCCAAATAAAAGCGAGCTGGAGAATTATGAATATGTTATGCACTTGCTTATGGTTTAGTGTATGTGTTCTTTCAGAATTTAGTCAGGTTTGATAAAACACCAGATACGCTGTATTCCTGCTAGGATAAAACAGTAACTTCCATACAACTAATACCCATTTCTAAATGTTAAATGCAGTAGAAAACATAACAAACACAGTTACAGAAAAGACAAAAATTCAAATTTTCTCAAAAGAGAAACTTGAAATATCAGAAGCTATCTGTAATGTATATAAACTAATAAAACGCAGTTTTTCAAAGCCCAAACTGAGTTTATAACTAAATGCTATTATAATAACAGAAAAAGATGCTGGCTATTTGCTATGTTTATGTGTGGGAGTTATTTTGAGGGAAGCTGGAAGGGAAAAGTAATTTTAATTCTATAGGAAATGGAATGGAAAGTGAGTATCCTACTGTTACTGGAGTAACCAAAATGTATTTTTCAACCTGGGATTTTTTTTAATAGCAAAAGAGAGTGATATAATAAACTTGGGTAAACTGGTATATATGGCTAAATTACAACATTCAAATGAGAAATTTAAAGGAATTAAGCATAGAGACAGATTTATTCGATCTGAAGAGAAACCAGAGTATATAAAGACACTTTAATGTTCCAAATTCTCTCTTTTTTTTGTTTTTTTGTTTTTGGTATTGGGGATCAAACTCAAGGTTCTTGCTCTTTCGAGGCATGCATGGTGCTACAGAGCTAAATCCCTGGCCCAAGAGACCCAAGAGACTTTAATGTTATAACAAAATAGGCACATCTCATACGTAGCAAAGCCGTTTGTGCAATAGATGATTTAATATACATAATTTATCCAAAAATGTCTTACAACTAAAAAAACTCAGAATATACATAACCACACAGTACTGGACAGGATGGTATGTATGTTGTTACTTCTACAAGATAAAGTTCACACTACCAATAGGCCAAATCTAAATTTATATCTGAATGTTTGAAATTCCAATAGGAACAATTGAGACTTGGGCATGTCTCAGCCTGAATAAACATCAACAGTACCTTACAACTTGAAATTTATCAGGAGTAAATGGGCAGAAAACATGGCTGTCTGAGGAGCTCAACAGATACAACTAAGCTACTGCTTCTTCTGCCTTCATGTGAAAATATTTTTGGTTAATAAAAATGAATTTTTAAAATAATTGTTTATTGGTACATTTTAGATATACATACTGATAGCATTTATGATAGGGAATCGAACCTGTACATGATACATCTTGATTCTCTTTTTTTCCCAATCTCCTCTTCCCTTCAACCTTTCTTCCCTTCCTTATTTATAAATCTTTGTTTCTATTTTTTTCTTCTTTCACTTTCCCCCTCCCCTCTCCATTTGAATATTTTCTTCCTATTTCATAATATCTATTTTACATTTTGGTCCTTATTTACACTGTCTCACACAGAGAAACAATGTGATATTTACCCTTTTGTCCAATTTATTTCACTTAAGAGTATGGTCTCTATACTCTAGCTATAAATGCCTGAAGCTCATCCTTTATGGCAGAGTAGT